GTAGACTGACAACATACTCTCAGTGCGCTGCACATGTAACCAAGGTAACCTGCATATTGAAGCACCAAGTCTGTGAGCCATTACTGTTGCCTGACAACATACTCTCAGTGCGCTGCACATGTAACCAAGGTAACCTGCATATTGAAGCACCAAGTCTGTGAGCCATTACTGTAGACTGACAACATACTCTCAGTGCGCTGCACATGTAACCAAGGTAACCTGCATATTGAAGCACCAAGTCTGTGAGCCATTACTGTTGCCTGACAACATACTCTCAGTGCGCTGCACATGTAACCAAGGTAACCTGCATATTGAAGCACCAAGTCTGTGACCCATTACTGTTGACTGACAACATACTCTCAGTATGCTGCACATGTAACCAAGGTAACCTGCATATTGAAGCACCAAGTCTGTGACCCATTACTGTAGACTGACAACATACTCTCAGTGCGCTGCACATGTAACCAAGGTAACCTGCATATTGAAGCACCAAGTCTGTGAGCCATTACTGTTGCCTGACAACATACTCTTATGAGGATACTGGATGTATAACGTTTGTAACTAAAGACGAAGCAAGTAAAAAAGGTACAATTTTCTGGTATACAACAGAACTAAAATCGTGGTTATTTGAAACTATTCTATGACATCATTTTTTTTTCTGTAAAAATTCAGGCTTCATAGAGTTCAGAAAATTCCTGTCAGAAATAAGGCTCATCTGTCTAAAACAACCATTATTGTTGCTATGGTAACGCCAGTGCTCTAGAGTTAAACATTTAAATTTGCATCTAATCAATCAGTTGTAGTTTGCATGCAGTATTGCGACACTTTTATGCAAAGCGTCATATAATTTCGTTTACAGGAAACCCGTGTTTCAGAACGGAGTAAATTAAGTATATACAGATCAAGCTGACGGAATCCTAGGTTGACGTAAAAAATATATACATATCGTCTGAAACGTTTTCTTTACGAAGACTTTTTTAATGACTTCTGTTCATATCCTCTGCATGATAAATGTGGGTTAGATATTTGAAGATGATGCCAGAAAATCCTCTGGATGATAAATGTGGGTTAGATATTTAAAAATGATGCCAGAAAATCCTCTGGACGATAAAGGTGGGTTAGATATTTGAAGATGATGCCAGAAAATCCTCTGGATGATAAATGTGGGTTAGATATTTGAAGATGATGCCAGAAAATCCTCGGACGATAAATGCGGGTTATATATTTGAAGATGATACCAGTCTTTGCTGGAACATTTAGAATCTTTAAATCAATCTCAGACGAAGTTTGATCGGTTTTAGAGAGTAAAACGTTTGTGTATTTTGTCACAACCGACAAACTTTGTCTGAGATTAATCAAAAACATAGTTCTTTCCAATATTCAATTCATGTTACTCAGTCTTAATATTCCAACACGTCGCAACTCTGATCCACACGATTCTTTAAATGATCCTGGCTGTTAACCTGTTTTTAACCCCCGGATCATCACAGACTAATTTCTTCATCATATTTCTACTACTTGCTATACATGTCAAGTCTGTTCTTGATGTTTTAATGACAATTTCTTACACGAGGACATTCGTGGAACAAGATCCACAGACTCCTGTGAAGACCTAGTTGTCCACTACAACGGTAAGATGCTGAAAGCAAATAGAATTGGAGTCCACAAATCATCTCTATCAGACTATTTTCTTTTAGCAAGTAAAATAGGCTATAAAATTAAACAATGAAGTTCAGTGTAGCAGATGTAAACGTTGGCTGAGTACAGGAAGCGTTATTTAAATATTTCACTAAACACGTGAAAGGATTCTCTACGTGATTTTTCATGACACCTAGTATTAACTTTAGAAGATAAACGGTACGTTGTAGA